AGCTACTGTCAAGACTATTCTAAATAGCTAAGTCATTGCTTTCTTGGTCATCACATGAGTAAGAGTTATGATCTGAAACAAAATTTTTAATTGCATTTTTTAAATTTGAATGAAGAAAGAATTGAATGTCCTTTCTTTAATACTTTCACATCAGAGCTGGATTTTGTATTTTACTTCCCTGCTGATCTCAATTTTTATTCCTTTTTTTTGGTGTTTTTGGAGACAGGATTTCTCTGTGTAGCTTTGGAGCCTATCCTGGCACTCACTCTGTAGACCAGGCTGGCCTCAAACCCACAGAAATCTGCCTGTCTCTGCCTTCAATCTTTATTCTTTAGTAAATATCTAACAAGAATCAGCCACATACCAGCCTCAGACATTAGGACTCACAGTCCTGCCTTCACAGGGTTTGAAGCTAGTGAGGTGGGTACAAGGGGTGAAGGATCTGAAAAGATGGTATGTTGTTGGTATGAATAGTGTACATGACAACTGAGCACACAGCCAATGGGCCAATCCCAAAGACAGGCCAGGAGGGCCTGTGGGGAAGCATGTACCTTGAAAGATGGTTGATGTTAAGGCAGGGGATGGGGAAGGTGTACAGAGAAGTGTGGAAGAGCATCCTAGACACACCGGTACAGTGAGCGGTACAGTGAGAAGCAGTACAAAATTCTTGAGTGTCCCGAGGATACATTGAGTAAGCCTGCAGGACAGGAAGGAGAAAGGACAGGCATCAGGCTTGAGAGCTGAGTGGGAACCATCTCTAGAAGTGCCCTGCTGGTGTTATTAGGAGTATGTACTTTACTCTGGTCTCTGGGGAGCCATTGAGGCATTTCAGGGAAAACTGCTGTCTTGCAAGGATTTGCAGCCAGGATGATTTTAGGCATCGAAGTGCTCAGAGTTTTCTGTAGGAGCTAAAAAGGAAGGTGCAGGGTATGGTGATGGCCCTGGCGACTGTGTAGCAGAGACGGGATTTAGGAACAAGTTCCCAGACAACCCATTTCCTAATGGGAATTCTGGAATCACTTTTTCTCCAGCTGCAACCCATTGGTGATCTCTGAGAGGGAAACATATTCGGTTTAGCTATCCTTTCAATTCTAAGCTGGTGCACAGCTCAGAAAAGCAGGCCCAGGGCTGGGGGTACAGCTCAGTTGGTGGAGTGCTTGCCTAGCAGGTTAGAAGGTTGGGTGAGATCTTCAGCACAGTGTAAACTGTCTGTATGGTCTATAACCTCAGTACTTGGGAGGCAGCTGTAAAAGAATCCAAAGTTTCAAGGTCATCATCCTTGTCTACATAGTAAGTTCTAGGTCAGTTGGGGAGGCATGAGACCCTGTTTTATAATATATATATAATATATATATATATATATATATATATATATATATATATGTCACATTTATATATTTTAAAGAGAACAGAGCCTCCTTCATAGTGAGAATGAGATGAACAGCCATGTTTAAATGTCACCCACAGTGATAGCAAGGTGTGGATGAGAGCCTAGGGGCTGGATGCTAGACTGTTAAAGCCAAATTGTATAAACTGGTGGGGCTGGGGACTGTGCACTTTGGGAAGTCCCATGGGCAATTTTTATCATTTATGAATTTGTATGATAGGCATCAAGTACAGAGGCCAGGAACAGAGTGCAGTTTCATAAGAAAATAAAATTTTCAACTGATTGGATATAGCCCAGAAGGCCAAGAGAAGTTTCATAGGCCAAAATATTTGTAATCTGGCCCTAAGCTTTCCTGAAAAGATAAAGCCACTCCTCTCAATACAGGGCTTGGCCAGCTGAGCAAAGCTGGTTGTGGCCAGCAGTAGCTCCTCTGCATGGTGACAGTTTGTGTGGTCCACCTGGCTTGGGCATTGGAGGTTTCAGTTGCATAGGTGTGTTGAGCAGCTAGGATTGGGGGGCTTTAGTTACAGTTGTAGAACTGCACCTGCTCGTGTTAGAGCACAGAGTCAGAAATGGGGACGGGTCTTGCTCAAGGTCAAGGGCCGAGCTGAGCGGAACACTGCACAGACTGAAAGGGAAGGCGATGGGCAGGGAACAGAGAGAAGATGGTTGGTAAATGTTTGCTGCCACACTAAATGCTCATGGTGGTGACAGCAAACAACCCTCTAGAAAGAAAGCTACCAGCATGAGAATAAGTGCCACCCCAGCCAGTCATTTTCCTGACAGCTTAAGGGACGTTTCTGTCAGATAGATTTGAGAAAGATGTGACAGGTCTAAGAACGTGGAGTATAGTGGTGCACACCTTCAATCCCAGCACTTGGGAGGCAGAGGCAGGCAGATCTCTGTGAGTTTAAGGCTAACCTGGTCTACAGAGCAAGTTCTAGGACAGCCAGAGCTATATAGTGAGACCCTATCTCAAAACAAACAAACAAACAAACAAACAAAAAACCAAAACAACAACAACAACCCCCAAAAGAACCAAAAAACAAAAACAAAACAAAACTAAAACCAAACAAAATTTTATCTGGGTATAGAGGCAAAAGTCTTAATCCCAGCACTCTGGAGGCAGAGACAGGCAGATCCCCAAGTTTGAGGCCAACTTACAGTGTAAGTTCCAAGACAGCCAAGGCTGAAGAGAGACCTTTAGCTCTCAGGGACAAAGTTTCTGAGGGAGTAGGAAGGTGCCACACCATATGACTACGATGCTAGAGACCCATCTGTTCCTGCAGAGGTCAAGAGTGAGGCGCCCAGAACATGTGGGGCCCAGTCCAGACTTCATTTCCCTGTCTCAGAGACTGCAGATAATAACAACACCAACACTCTCTAACCTTTCTCCGTGTGGGGCATTGGGTTCTGTGTTTTACTAACATACTCCTTACTCTTGTGACATCATTGTTATCACCATTTTAGAGATGGAGAAATTGGCTCAGTCTACAAAATTTCGTAGAGCTGCTGGGTGTAGGTGGCACACGCCTTTAATCCCAGCACTTGAGAGGCAGAGGCAGGCGGATCTCTGTGAGTTCAAGGCCAGCCTGGTCTCCAGAGTGAGTGCCAGGACAGCCTCCAAAGCTACACAGAGAAACCCTGTCAAGAAAAAAAAATGGTAGAACCAAAGCATAGAATTGAGGTATGATAAAAAGACAAGGAAAACAGAGAGAACATGAGAAGGTATCCTAAGGTCTGCTTTTCTCTTGGGATAAACACCAGGGCCAAACATGAGTTGAGAAAGAAAGGGTTTATTTCATCTTACAGATTATTATCGTGGAGGGAAACCAAGGCAGGCCCTCAAGACTGGAGCTGAGAGCAGAACTGTGGAGACGCTGTTAACTGGCTTGCGCTCAGCTTCATGTTCATACACATTGTGCATGGGCCCAGTCCATCTGCCTCAGGATGACACTGCCTGTAGTGGGCTGGCCTTCCCTGCATGTTTTCCTAGACACCCCAAACAAGACTATTAAAAACACAAATGAACTTGTGCTTACGTAAGGCCTGGGCATTTGTAACCCTGAGTTTTATACTAGTGCCTTCTCTGAATCTAGTGGATATACCTCACCAAACTGCCTTACAAATTCCTTTACAAAAAGACATTAAGGAAAGTAAGTACACCAACTCATAGACTTCCTCTTCAATTTGAAAATGTACTGAAATTGTAAACTGCACTTAATCTTCATGGTTTGTTGAAAAGTTCAGTCCTTTGAGGAATGAATGTAATTTAGAAAGCCAAATGATTGTTTATGTATGTGTGTGCGCGCACACACACACACACACACACACACACACACTCACACACACTGTTGGACAGCTAATGTGATTCTCTGGAGAAGGCTAAACCCTTGTCTTGGGGCTCTGTACTGTTTTTTTTTTTTCTCCCTGTAAGTCCTTCTCTGTCTAAGTACTTAATAAACTCACTAACTTCACTTCCTTCTGTTCTTCCATCTCTCCCTCCCTCCCTCCACTCTTTCTCCCTTCTTCCCTACCTTGAATTGTAGTACAATACACATAATATAATTATTTGGGGGGCATGGGCAGTTTGAGACACAGTTTCATTTTCATAGTGGTTGCTTTCATATTCATTATACCATGTGTTCTGTCCAAAAGGTTTTTGCCTAATTCACTTTCTATTCTTTTTTTTTTTCAGCAACTGCTATTTATTATCAAAGTCATATTCGATGGCAACAAGATGCTGAAAGCCTCTGCCCCTTGGCTCGTTCTCTCTCTCGGTGACACTCCCGTACGCGTGCGCACCCACACGCCTGGCGGCTGGCTCCCTCCCAAGCAGGTTCACCCAGGAGGGGCGACCCAGGCCCGCCCGCCTGGCGCCGCACCCCGGGGCTGGGGCCGAGCGGGGAGCCCGCGAGG